AGCCGCACAGGCCCCAGCTGGATCCACTCTGCCGGCCAGGCTGGCTCAGGTGAGTGACAGCAATGGACACAGCCAGCTCCAATAACAGCATTATTTATTATGTCTAAACCTAAAATATTTACAGGGGGGAAGCCGGGGGGAGGCCACACGTGAAAGGCCCTGTGGAAGTCCCCAGGGCAGGCTAGTCAGTGAATGGGCCCCTTGGGGCCTGGCTTGAACGCCTTGTGCTCCACTCCAACACGGTAAATCTCAGGCAGGCCAGTGACTTTGGTAACAGGAAAAAAAAATAGTCTGCTCCAGGGCCACCTGCCGTGGGGTCTCCAGCTGTGCCAGGGCCCAGAGCCAGCCCCGAGGGGCCCAGCAGCCCATCTGGCACCTCAGCCCCACGGGAGCAGGGCTGACTAGTAAGAACAGGCAATGGCTGAATCCAGCTGGAGGGACTCTGGTCTGGCTTTGCTCCCACAGGGAGATCCAGCCACTGGGGAGCACGGGAGCACATATCTGGCACCTCAGTCCCACAGGAGCAGGGCTGATTGGTAACAACAGGCAATGGCTGAGTCCAGCTGGAGGGACTCTTGTTTTGCTTTGCTCCCACAGGGAGATCCATCCACTGGGGAGCAAGGGAGCGTGCAGGGCAGGAGGAGGCTTAGACCGGGCGACAGGAAGGGCAGCTCAGGACAGCACGTGGCAAAGTGACCTCCTCCCCGCACTCCTGTGGTCAGACCTGCTGCAGCAGGCTTGTCTTGAGCTAGCAGCCTGGGCCCCAGCCCCGCTCCTGTACCACCTGGCAAGTCTCAGGGGCTCAGCCTGCCCCAGGACAGGGTGAAGAGGGAGGGAAGGAAGAGACAGCACAAGTTGTGCCGGATGCTGGTGGGGATCATCCTGAGACCAGCACCACTCCCAGCTCCCATGGTCCATCCCTGTGCAGCCCCCACCTTCACTGAAGCTCCTCCATCCTTTTCTTCTTCAGCTCACCAAGGCGGTCTGCATGCCACTGTATCTCCTTTTGTAAGTGCTTCTCATCCTCGAAGCAGGTGGCCTGCTTTTGCACCAGCTGCGCCTGGCGCTCCTGCATCTGGCATTGCACCACTTCACCATACTCCGCTCGCTTGGCTTCCCTCTCCTCTCGCTCCACCCTCGGGGAGACACCAGCACCGGTAACAAAGTCCAGCCCAGCCCTGTGCACAGGCAGTGCCTGTCCTCCCCACAGCAGGCTGGCAGGGCCTGACCTTCTTGCCAGGGGCTGCTCTGTCCCCTCCCACAGACACAGGGTCCTATGTCTGCCCCAGCTGGGTCATCTCCACTGTAGCTCCTGCCCCCCAGGCTTGGCAGGAGCTGCACTGGGCAGGCCTGATTCAGCCCAGCCTGGTGCCGCTGTAGGTACACACTCTCCACTGCCTGGGACCCCGCTGTTGCTCAGGGGATGGACCATGCTTTGCCTTACCTGAAAAACTCTTCAAAATGGCTGCAGTCCCGCTTCGCCTGCATCAGCAGCTTGTGGGCCATATACTCCATGCGGCTCTGCTGCAGCATGACCTGGAGCTCCATTATCTTCATCAATTTTTCATTTTTTGCTAGCAAGTCCCTATGCCACCACTCCTGCTCCTTGGCCTCCTGCTTCCACATGGCCCAGAGCATGTCCTGCAGGGAGGGAAGCCCTGACTGCATTGCCCAGGCAGCAAGGAGCCAGGCTGAGATGCTGCCCCTGCTCCCCCAGGGAGCCAGCCCCGACCCTTGGACTGGCTTTGCCTGGCTCCTCTCCTGCCTGTGTAGAGCTGACTGGGCTCTCCTCCCTGCCTGCTCCAGGTGCGGTGTTGGCTGCCACGACAAAGCTGGAATGACCCAGGCGAGCTGTGCAGCCTTGCCTGATGCCTTGGAGGGCTAACGTCCTCTCACCTGGGCCTGGGCCGCCGCATGTCAACCTGCGTCCTACTCAGCCTGCCCTGCCACAGTGCCATGGGGAAGCATTCGCCACCCCTCCCCCGGCGTGCATGTGAGGGAGGCCCTCCCAATCTGATGGGTCCCAGGAGGGAGAGAGGGCAGGGGCAGCTGTGAGCGTTACCTTGTCAGTCTGGAGGTCCTGGGTCCTCTCCTGCAGGCCCCTCAGCTGGGCCATCTCCACCTGCTTCTCTTGATAGGCGTCCTCCTGCAGCACCTCAAACTCTGCTTCCTGTGCCTGCCGCAGCACAGCCCCAGGTCTATGAGCCACTGACCCACCCCATGCACCAGCAAACATGGGCAGAGCCATCATAGCGTCACCCGTGTGTGTGTGTGTGTGTGTGTGTGTGCGTGCGTGAGTCCATGCGTGCGCCAGGTTACTTGTGTGTGTCATATTGAATGAAATAGTTTGAATATTTGTAATGGTTGCCCATTAGCCAGTTTCAGGAAGAAGATAAGATTTATCTCCTTATCTAAGTCATTGTTTTTGGACTACGTGCAAAAGGTCCTGACTTTGTTTAAAGTCTTAATTTTAATTTTATCTTTAGAAGTCTTTTACAAAGAGAGCAAATATCCTGAGTTCCGAGAGATCAAACCCTAAGGCCTTTTGACCAGATTGGTAAGAAAAGGGAATTTGCAGTGATATGGAAGTTTCCCAAAGGTAATTTCAAAAGAATCTGTTGAGTAAAATCCAAGCCCAAATTTGGGGGTAATGACAGGTTGAGTAGGAGGAGCCCATAGACGGCAGCTCACTCAATAAAAACTGTAACTTACTGTCCCAATTTGGAGGTGACTTCACTTGTAGAACAACGAAGGAAGAATCGCAAGTGTAGGCCGGATCAGATTGATCACCTGAACCACCCTCTCCGTGAACACGAATCTCTTAGCTCACGCTGAAGCTGCAGAGCGCCCGGAAGGGACTGAAGGAAGGGGACTTAGTCCTATCACTGCTGAGGCCAGCCTATTGAATTGTATTGTTGAGGCGAGCCCATTGAACTGTACTACTGAGGCCAACACATTAAATTGTACTACTGAGGAATGAAACCATATTTTGGTATTTGGCTTCTTGGAATTCTAGGATTGTAAGTATATTATGAAAAATAATAGTATTGATTCAAATTTAACTTTTAGTTGTAATTGTAGTTGTTTTTGTAACACTAATTCTTATAGCATTGTTTGGGAAGGAAGTGCATTCGGAGCATTGTTTCTGATATATGTAATTATTGTGTTCTTAATGTTTGTGGTGTTTCTTAAGGCTAAGCAGTGTTATATACGTAGCAAAGAATTTTAAAATAAAATTGTGTTGTATGAATTAAGTGTGTAATCATTGTGAAATCGTGCAATCAGCTAACTACTCCCCCAGCCAGTGCATCAAAACGAATCAGTAAATTGTGTGGGATTTTCTCTATTCCATAACCCACTAGAGACAGTGTGTGCAGCATTCTCACACAGGCAGTGTCATGTGCAGCATTAACATGCATGTGCAGTGCTCACATGGTGATGCACACAGAGCATTCGCACACGTTGTCACACACACACATGCAGTGCTCCTGCATGGAGCACTGTATCACATACATGTGCAGTGCCACACATGGAGCACTTACTTGCACATGGTATGTGCTGCCTTAACCCATCAGCACATGGGGCTCTCGAGTGCTCTCCTCTAGGCCAAGCAATGCTGAGACCAGAGCAGGTCGTTCCAGCCACCACTCGGGCTCCGCAGGCCCTTTTCCCTGCCCCTGGATGCGTATCATTCTCTGTTTCTGGTAGTCCAGGATGCACTGGTCATACAGCCTCCCTTGCTCCAGTTTCTGCTTCTTGTATTTCAGCATATTCCTGAGTATAGAGAAACTCTCCGCAAGGGCATCCCTTTCTTTTTGCCGTCTCTTCCTCTCCTCCATGTTATTCTTTCCTTGCTTCTTGATCTGGCTCCCCCTGGGTGAGACACAAGAACTGTCTCAAGTGCTCCCTGCTGGCCCCAGGCTCCTTGCCAGCAGGACCCCCTGCAAGGCCAGCTGGGCTGGGAGGTCTGCTCCCAGGCTGCCATCCCGTGGCTAAGCAGGGGAGGCTGAGCCTGGGGGTGCTCCTGTCTCAGCGTTCATGTGAGGTGCTGCATGTGGGAAGTGCCCACGTTTGAGGCAGCTGCTGCCTGGCTGTGCTGGGGCAGGGCCTTCCTGCTTACCGGATCACCTCTGGCTGCCTCTCCTGCTCCAGCTCTTCCTGCATCTGCATGGCGTTCTGGCACTTCACTTCCATATTCTGGTCCAGGCACATCTCCTCCTGTTTGGGGTCTATCTCCACCTGCTTCATCTCTGAAAACTGGGCATCCTGGGCGGCGCGGCACGTGGCATCCACAGCCAACTGCAGGGCAGAGCACCAGGCTGGTCTGCGCCACACAGCACCAGCAGCAGGGGAGAGAGACCCTGATGTGGGGCACAGAGTGGGGAAGAGACACAGGGCCACGGGGGCTCTAGTGGGGAGCAGGGCCCAGACCTATTCCTGGCTCTGCCACTGACTGTGTGTGTGCCCTTGCACATCTCCAGTGGGCGCAGAAGGGAGCACAGGGCTCAGGGGCTGGCACAAACACTAGGAGCTTGGCCAGGTGGTGGGCCGTCCCAATCCAGCTGGGACTGGAGTGACTGTAGCTCTCCCTGGCGAGTGACCCTTCTGCAGTGGGCTGGGAGGTCCCAGAGCCCAGTTTCTGGCAGGGTGTCCTGATCGTCCCATCCCCACAGAGCTCCTTGCAGACAGCCAAAGTACTGAGCTGAGTCAGCCCCCAGCTCCCCTCCATGCTGCAGTCCCTCCATGGCAATGCTTCACGTGACGTCCTCAGTCTAGGTCCCAGGGAAGCAGGCGCAGCGTGGCCTTGCCTTTTGGGGAAGAGGACTTGGGGGCAAAGGGGCAGCAGTGGGAGAGGGGCTGGAGAGAGGGCAGCTGGAGAGCTGGAACCTTCTCCATGTCCTTGATCTTGTCACCCTCCATGTGCATCCTGCTGGCCCGCTGGACTTCAGGATTAGTTTGTTCCTGCACCTCCTCCTGGTCACTCTGCTTGTCCTAATGTAGAATCAGATTCTCTGAGGCCTGCCTGTGCTAGGCCACAGTGGTGTGGAGGGGAGAAGCAGGCTGCTAGCAGCCCCTGGCAGGCGGGGAGCCAGGCTGGGCTAGTGTCAGAGCCTGCGCTTCAAAGAGCTGCCACCAGCCCCTGGGCCCTTAGCACCCTGTCACGCTGGCCAGGGCTGCCTGCACTTTGGGATGGGCCTGCCCAGGGCAGCTGCTGGATGCAGCCCTGCTCTGAGCCAGATGCCTGAATCATGCTCCTCCGACAGGCACCGTCTATGTGGGCCACGCTTGGCACAGCAGCCCAGGATGTGTGTGGCCCTACAGGATGCCTATCATGAGGTACCCATGCCAGGCATGGACAGGGATCCCGACCCTTGGGCTGCTTTTTTTCTGGCTCCGCTCCTGTCTGTATAGAGCCAGCTGGGCTCTCCTCCCCTCCTGCTCCAGGTGTGGTGCTGGATACCATAGCAAAGCTGGAAGGACCCAGGCGAGCTGTGCAGCCTTGTCTGATGCCTTAGAGAGCTAATGTCCTCTCACCTGAGCCAGGGCTGCTGCTTGACAACCCACATCCTGCTTAGTCTGGGCCTCCAGCTGGGGCTTGGTCTGCCCTGCCGCAGTGCCATGGGGAAGCATCCCCCACTCCTCCCCGGGGGTGCATGGGGGTGAGGCCCTCTCACGCTGATGGGTCCCCAGCTGCCAGACAGGCCGGGAGGGAGTGAGGGTAGGGGCAGCTGCATGCATTACCTTGTCAGCCTGGAGGTCCTGGGTCCTCTCCTGCAGGCCCCTCAGCTGGGCCATCTCTTGCTGTGCCTCCAGCCCTGCTTCCTGCACCTGCCACAGCACAGCCCCAGTTCCATGAGCCACTGACCCCCTCCACTCCAGCACTAGCAGCAGCACCAGCACTAGCAAACATTGGCAGAGTCATCATAGCATCACACACGTGTGTGTGTGTGTGTGTGTGTGTGTGTGTGTGTGTGTGTGTGTGTGTGCGCACGCGCACGCCGGATCACTCGTGTGCAGCATTCTCACACAGGCAGCGTCATTTGCATACAACCACATGCAGCATTAACATGCATGTGCAGTGCTCACACAGTGGTGCACACACGGAGCGTACGCACACGTTGTCACACACACACATGCAGTGCTCCTGCATGGAGCATTGTGTCACACACATGTGCAGTGCCACACACGGAGCATTTGCACATGGTGTGAGCTGCCTGCACCCATCAGCACACGGGGCTCTCTAGTAGGCCGGTGCAAAGCGGCTAGTATTTGCTTCGGATTCGGCTGATTCAGAGGACAGTGATTCAATTCAGAGATTCAAATCACTGTCCTGATTTGATGCAGCTGAATCTCTGAATCAACCAGGCCAGACCCATCCCCTGTCCCTCTTCCAGCCCAGCAATGGCTGCCCCACCGGCCCCAGCTCCTGGCACTTTGGGGAAAAAAAGCCCCCGTTCAGCAG